CTATATAATATGGGAAGAGAACAATGAGTTTAGTATACTGAACTTTTCAGAAAATTTCATTGACTGATATATATATATATATATATATATATTATGGTTTAGAATGGAACTCGATGAACCCCAATGGAGGTTTATAGGATTTTATGATTTTTCATAACGTCGACAGTCTTGCGAATTGTTAAAATCGCTATCAAGGGATCCCGATAAGCCATGGTTGGTCATGGGAGATTTCAATTATATATCCTATTTGAAAGAGAAAAGCGTGGTGGTGCATCGCAACAACAATGGCTGATGTGTGGATTCTGAGGTGCAATTTGGAGTTGTTGGCTTCAGAATGTCCGGTTTGATGGGCGCCAATGGATGTGGGAATAGAGAGGTGGAACACCAAGGTGGATAGAAAAAAAAATTAGACTGAATTTTAACAAACAAAGATTGGTTTCTTTGTTCGGCGAAATTCTAGGCAACATCTTTGGAGGACCGACAAGTGACCATTTGATGCTTTTCACTCGAATGGAGCAAAAAGACATAGTAAGGGGGAGAAGACTTTTGAAGTTTGAAAATATTTAGCTTCCAAGAAGAGACTTGAATATTGCGGCACTGAACTACAAGCTTGGGCAGATAAACGCATATTAGGTTTTCAAGCTCGAGTTGAGGTTTGTAAATTTAGATTAGAACTTTTCAGGAAATAAGGATGAAGGTGGAATGATAGAGAATTTCAAAGAGTCAAAGACGTCCTGGTGGGATTATTTCATAAACAAAACGTATCCTGGAAGCAGTGGTCTAAGGAGTTTTGGCTTAAGTAGGGTGATAGGAGTACAATTTTTTTCATTATGCAGTGAAAGAATGCAGGAGGCGTAACAGATTCAAAGGGTTACGTCTTCAAAATGGGAACTTGGAGGTTGATAAATGTAAAATCAGTGTTTAATTGATGGTTATTTCACAAAACTTTATACATTAATCAAAATGGGAATTGGAAGGTTGATAAATGTAAAACTAGTGGTTGATGGCGATCGACAAGCTCTCAAAGGCATAGCAGTCACATGCCACCCTTCCACGACACTAGTTGATGCGAAAACTCTCCAAAAAAAACCTCGCCGATGGAATCACTCTCTCTAAAGGAAAAGAACGATGCATACAAATGGAATGATAGGGTTTGATCGATGCTATCTTATAACCTTATTATGTTCGGCGACATTATTTTGGATGGGCTACAAATATTCCTTTGGCCCACTTTTGGGCCTCCTTACTTTATTTTGTTTGGATGTTTTGTTTTGCAAACCATCCATACCCTTTTCCTTGTATTTTTTGCACTGTTTTGTACACATCTTTTATGACTTTAATAAAATACACAATTTCCACCAAAAAATGTAACATTAATTGTTGAATTGTTGATTACTTCACACAACTTTATAGATTAGACCAGAGTCGACTCGATCTGGATGTTTTACCATAAGTAACCAGATTATCATATGAACAAAGTAGTGTCATGATGAGGCTGATTAATGCTTTAGAAGTCAAGGTGGCAGTATTTGCTATGCATCCAGATAAAGCACCAGGTCTAGATGGTTTAAATTCTGATTTTTATCAACACTACTTGAACATTCTTGGAGAGGACATTGTTACATTTTGTCAACACTTGTTCACTTCAGGATATATTCCTAGGGAGGTAAATCGCACTAACCTAATATTAATGCCAAAAAAAGGATAAGCCGGAAACACTTAGTAATTAGAGACCTATAATGTTATGCAATGTTATCTATAACATTTTTACAAAAGTTATGGATAATATATAATCAAAGTGGTGCTTAAGGGGTTAGTTTCTAATAATCAGAGTGCATTTGTACCACGAAGGTCCATTGTGAAAAATGTGATGGTAGCATTTGAAACACTGCATTTTTTAAAACAGAAAAAGAGGTGAAATGAAGGATATGTGGCTCTAGAATAGGATATGAGCAACGCGTATGATAGGATGCAATGTATTCTTTAGAGATGATTATGAGATTAGTGCATTTTAATCCGAGGTGCATAGATTTAGTAGAGAATGCATGACGACTATATGGCCGGGGTACTCTATTCCTTTTGAGAGGAACAAGGTGGGACCGATTATACCTCAAAGAGGTATATGACAAGGGGAACCTTTATTTCTTTATATGTTTATTTTGATAACAGAAGGCTTAAGTGCTTTGATCGGAAAACATGAAAACTTGGGCAACGTACGTAGTGGGAATTGCTATAGCGAGAGGTGCTGCATGAGTGTCTCATCTTTTTTTTTTTTGCTGAAGATAGCTATTTGTTCTTTAGAGACCATGAGAGGGAGTGTGAAGGGGTTAAGTCTATATTGCATTCCTATGAAATTTGCCGGGTCGGGTCAAAAGGTGAACTTTGTTAAGTCGACTATTAATTTCAGCCCAAACGCAACTGATGATTATAAGATTAAGATATGTTATTATCTTGGGGAGGTTCAGAAAGGGGACAATCCCCTTTATTTGGGTTCAACAGAACTGATTGGGAGACGGAAGATTGAAATCCTTGGGTACTTGAAAGAAAGAACTTTAAAAAGAATACACAGCTTGAATAATAATTTTTTGCATAAGGAAGAGAGGCTATGCTAAAGATGGTGATTCAAGCTATGCCAACTTATGCCATGAACGTTTTCCTACTCCCAAAGGTATTATTATGTTCAGAAGTGGAAATTCTAATGAATGATTATTGATGGCACGAGGATGATAATACTAGAATGGGTATTCAGTGGTCTCGATGCAATGGAAGGCTCTATGTAAACCAAAGAACAATGGAGGATTATGATATAAATCTCTTCGGAAATATAACTTAGCTATGCTTTGAAACCAAGCATGGAGACTAGTCGCTCATTCTGATTTGCTAGTGAGTAAAATATATACAGCCCGATATAATCTTAATTCTTCATTTTTGCAGGCAGATTTGAGAGTGTACCCTTCATTCATCTGGAGTAGTATTATGCAAATATAGGATTTGCTAGCAAGGGGGGCTTTAAATACGGAGAGAGTAAGTGATACACGGATACATAAATGAGAGTTTAAGGTTTTTGAGTATGGGAAATCGACACGAGAGAGCTCTCAAATGTCTATATAATTAAATGTTATACATATACTCCTTTGTTCATGTATTTATCTATTTTTACGTTTTTTGTTATGTATTAAACTAAATTTATCGCATACCACATTTACTAATATTTAAGTGATTGCAATTCATTATTACTTTAGCCTTAATTACTCTATCAGTGTATTGTCAACCATCCAACTTATTTTTTTGGTAATCAAATCATTCTCTCATGTCTCATTTTTACATTATTCAACTCATTTCAATCTAAAGTCAACCCTGTGAACGAGTAAAAATCAAATTAGTCAACCAACGCATGCCTTTAAAATCACAGCTTTCACCCTTCGCCATATATTTAAGGCATTTTTCCCATCAGTTGACACCAAGCGTCTTTCTACGTGCTGCGAGCTATCAGGCTGAAATTCCTTCTTCTGAAAATTAGCCAATTGATATTGTGTGTTTCTATATAAAGATAAAGATATGCTGTGAGTTTATATATTATGCATTCTTCTTGTTCGACGTTTATAAACTTTAATTGTATAATTATATAGTCTTTTAATTTGTTTTCATATTAATTCATGTTTTAATTGTGATCCACACTTAATTCTTCTTAATTATCAGAAGCATGTTTCAGATGAAGACTTCTCACACTGACCCGGATACTCAATTTTCCGGGAAGGAATCAAAGGTAATAATGGGGGCTATAATTATTGTACAAGAATCAAATTAAACTATATGTAGAACAGTTGTTTTCTAGCATTTCTATTACAGGCTTTCAGCTCTCTCATTTCACCAACCAATTAAGGTGGAGAATAAGGTTCACAATCTTTAAGTGAGTAAACAAGTTGTATTTCAAAAGTTCTAATTTTGCTCAAATCATTCTCATCTCTGTGTTTATTTCCGTTTTTAAGATCTAGTTTGTCTGATTTTTTTATTAGGTTTGCTTTGAATCTACTAATATAATTAATTTGATCTCAGTCTTTATATTTAATTGATCTGGAGAGACTTTATCATATAATATATTGTTTCCGGATTTATCTGAACCCTTATTCATCTTACTTTGGGAGCGGAGTGTTTTCTAAAAATTAAAAATAATGTTTTTCTTCTTTTGACTTAAAAATTGAAATGAGTGGTTTCTAATGCTTATACTTAAATTAAGCACTTAAAAGCTAAATTCTGGAAGTATGTAGAATGATGCTTTAAAATGTTTTCCCCTTTTTTTATTACAGAAAAAACACTTATTTTACCAAATACTACGTACTACCAACTTTTATTTTTTAAAGGCACTTTTTTAAGCACTATCAACTTTTACGATTAAGTAAAAGTTTGTGTTCCCATCTATGCACCTTGACATGAACAAATTGAACTTTGCACTCTGTTTTTAAAAATCTTTGTTTTTGCGCCACAACTCAATTCGAAAAGACAAAAATGTCCCTCCATTAAAAAATATGTTGACCTTCAATATATTCCTGATCGAGAGCATTTTTTGTTTTTGAACGAAGAGATTATTTAACTTGATATTTAGAAATTATCACATTGGACTATATTTATAGTGTCGTTCACTAATCCGTCTTTTTGTAGCTATGCGAAATTAAATAAAAAAGTATGATAAATCTCTTCAATCCAGTTTGAGGTATACGCTTTTCATACACACGTACACACTCGTGTTTGTGAAAGTTTTTTTTATCTGTATTCAGGCATAACGTATTTTCAAATACGTTGCATGTGTTTGTATACAGACAAAAAGAAACACTTCACAGACACCAGTAAGTGTATACGTGTGTATGAAAAGTGTGTAAGAATACATTTTTTTCAAATCTCTTTAGTTACTCAATGCAGATTAGAGAATTAAGGCTTGAGCCATTAACGGGACGCAGTTTGAAGTACTGCACTGATGCTTGTTTAAGGCGATGTTTGGAGGCTCGAAATTGGAATGTTGAGAAAGCCAAGAAAATGTTGGAGGAAACGCTCAAGTGGAGATCAATGTATAAACCAGAAGAAATACGGTGGGTAAGTGATGTACTGTGTGATTGTTTCCCTTTAAAAGAGATTTTTTAAATTGATTTTGGAGAAAAGAGTAAATAGTAAAAAATGATAACGTTTGAGAAAAAAAAGGATTTTAAATAGCAAAAATTGGTATTGTATAGTATAAAATAGGGAGTACTACTTTTTTGTATAATAGAAAATTTCACATAAATTCTAATGTTTGAGCACACGCATTTGTTTGTGTTCCCATCTATGCACCTTGACATGAACATTAATGATTGTTTATACATGGGCACAATGTCTAAGCACATAGTCCCATTTTAGTTAGTCAAACTTGACTTTTCAAGTCAATGACGTCTAACTTTGACCGCTTATATGTTTATATAGTGAAAATATTGATAATATGAAAATGATATGAAATTGTTCTTTGTTTAAAAATACTATCATGAAAGTATAAAATTAGTAAATTTTGCATAATATGAAAATGATATGAAATTGTTCTTTATAGTATTATTATTGTTAATTTGTTAGTATTGTATGTATCAATGCATAGTTACCGTGACCCTATGTACAAAAGGATAAACTTTTGGGAAAATGGAAACTAATAATCCAACCTTTTAGTGGTCTTCTTATAATAGTCTCACCTTTTGATTATTCATGAATAATCCAACCTTTGCACCTCTTCTTCATTCACTGGTCCCTGACCGATTGATGACGTGCTATTCCAAGTTATTTTCTTATCTTTGTAAGCCATTATACCATAAATCTCACCTTTCACAAAGATAATATTTTGCAAAGATAAGAAAATAACTTGGAATAGCAGGTCATCAACCGGTCAGGGACCAGTGAATGAAGATGAGGTGCAAAGGTTGGATTATTCATGAATAATCAAAAGGTGAGACTATTATAAGAAGACCGCTAAAAGGTTGGATTATTAATTTCCATTTTCCCTAAACTTTTGGGCCCATTTGAAATGATGTAAAGTAAACACTTTGCATGTGAAGTATAGGGAAGTAATCGTTTTATATCGTTTGTTTTAATTACTTAATGTAAACTGTAGGACACTTTTTAAAAAACATTTTACACCGTATCATGTAAACTATTTTACGTGAGGGGGAGAGTGGTACACTACTTTATATCGCTGATACGGATGATAAATTATATGCGGCTCCAACCTTCCTATTTAGCTCTACTTTCGACAATTAAGCTCTCGATGTCACTCCTTAGAAATTGAAAGCCTTTAGTGGATTCACACGGTTCTGGAGAGATTATTCCATATAGGCATATTCTCCTACTAGTTGGGAGTTATAGAATATTCAATTGCTCTAGAGCTAATTTTCTTCAACTTCTTATTAAAAAAATCAGTTTCCTCTCGTGCATAATAAAAGAGAATCGTGAAGAACACAATCAATCGTCTTCCCAAAATCGTGATTTCAGCAAAATCGTGCTGCTGTTAGGTGTGGATGGATGGAACGACCATGATACATGCTTCGATCCCCTTTACGTGTGAACTTATTTTTTGAGTTAAACAATGTATTTATTTTGCATGTATTTTTAAAATGGATCGCATATACCTCCTCAAACAATGTGCTTTTATTTTACGTATAAAATGATTATGTCGCTACATTTTATGTGCAATCACTCTACATGTAAAACTTTAATATGTAAAGAACCAAACGCCCCTTTGTGTACACTATTCACAATTATTATTATTCCACAAAAGGACTATAAGTCTATAATCGAGTTCAAGTTTTAAATGCTATGATCAGATTGAAGTGGCACAAGAAGGAGAAACCGGAAAAGCATTTAAAGCCAATTTTCAAGACCGGTTGGGAAGGCCAGTACTAATTAGGAATTTTATCATTTAGGGACCTCAAAGTTGAGCATTCTATCATTTAGGGACCCGAAAGATAAACTCTATCATTTAGGGACCTATAGTATTAGAATCTCTCAATTTAATGCTCAAAATTTTAACACCGTTAACTTGCTTCTAACGAAAAACTGATGTGGCACTTGATTTATTAAAAAAATATTGTTTCGTAAATAAAACTGCCACTTCATCAGTCTGAATCATTGCTCTTCTATTCCATCTCAACGTAAAGTTGATTAATGATGTCTTATCCTTACATTTTCACCGACAGCCAGAAACTCCACAATTCTATTCATCTTACCTCACCTACAGACCTCTTCATCTTCAACCCTCACCTTCGCGGATCGAAACTGTCTTTCAAAGACATCTGAGAAAACAGGTGAAGAGCAAGAGAGATGTAGACCTTCCACGGCGCCAAAGCCAAGAGTGATATCGCGAATACTCATCCATTTATAGAGTACCAAAAACAAAGAATGACTTGCTTGTTCTCGTCAACTGTTTCCCTTCGAAGAGCTTCGTCTTCCCCGACACTGCCTCCCTGTTACTTTATTATGAGAAGAGAATCCAGAGCTTAGTTTACCGATAAATTTTGTCCGCAAAAAGGAGAGACGGTATGACATCTGCTTCTTAATTAACTCTATTCCTTTTCTCTCTATAAGAAAATTAGGTCGCATATTTGATAAATCCCCCACCCAACTTAAAAGATGCTTGAATACGTAAAGCCTCTCTCAATAGCTTCTTCATGGGAAAATAAGTGTTATGTCCTCTTTGGGTTAGATGCATCTGAATTTTATTGCAAGATTCTTCTAATGAGATTTAGAATTTCTAGTCCTTGGTGTTATTAAATTATAAATAAGATCCAATTTTATTAAAAAGTCAAGGTAATCGACTAAACTTTGAATGATATGGATTTTGTATATATCTATTCTTTTTCCCTTTTTGAGAGTAGAATTTGGATGTATATTTTTCTTAGTTTCTTTTAGGCTTATCATGCTCTCATTTGGTGGATTTTAGTAGAGTACTTTGGATTTTTAAAAGGAAAAATTCACATCAATAATCCCACCTAAATGGGTTCTTCTCATATTAATGTCATGTATGTGTAATTCCAAAAGAATCTGAATTTAAGAGGTATCCTTCTCAAAATAGTCTTAGGTGACCTGCAACCTGCTGTTTAACAGGTAAACATCCTCAAGGTATCTACCTTTCTATTACTGAAAAAAACTCATGTCATCTCCCTCGTGTTGCCACCCATCCATTAATCTCTTCTCAAGTCTTTTTTTTCTTTCTCCTTATCTTGATCTTGCTACCTAACCGTGTATGGACTGAATAAATTGGACAAATTTTCGAAAGAACAAGATGACGGGCAGATAAGGATGAGGGAGCCATGGTGTGTACTGTCTAGGTTCACAATATTCATTCTCTAGAAAAATGGGAAAAGAATGGAAAATAAAAAAATATGAAGCCCAATTATATTAAGCCACGTGGGTGGGCACCTGCCGAAGTTGTTTATTCAGGTCACAGGTTCATTTTTACAAGCTACCCATATAGTTTAAATTAGTTTGGAAGTATACATAATTGGGATTAATATGAGAAGATCATCAATAAGTGAGATTAATCAAGTGAATTTTTCTCTTTTAAAAACGCATACATCATTGAGAGTAGTAAAAGCTTTTCTTCTCTTGTTTTTCTAGAGTGCATCAGAACTAGAGTGCAGAGAAGTAAAAAGCATGACTCAGTAGATTTTGCAGGTAAGCAACTTTGGAGTTGGTGTCACACCCGAGGCTCTATTTGATGCTTTGGCTAAAACGCTTACAGTGTGATGGGAGAAGACAATCATAGTTGTGATGAATGAAGTCCCTCTTAGCAGTCCCCACCTTCCTAAGTCGGTGAAGGGTGGCACACCTGCTGCCAATGACAAAGGATGTGGAAAGTGCTTGGATTTGAGAGGAAGAGATTACAAGTTCGCAACTCTAGATAGTAAATGCATTCATCTCTCCTGGGGGGCTTAGTATATGATGTTGCATCAAAAGTCTGTTGGAGAAACGTTTCTACAATATTCATAATTATAACTTGTATGCATCAGATTCTTGATCTTAAAATAGTACAAATTTTGCATCAGATTCTTGGTCTTAATGACGTTGGACTAAACTCCGATAATTTTTTCTCATCTATTTCATTCTCTCGTATGCTCTGCCATTTATTTCTGGGTGTGCCCGGCCATAGACTAAGACCAATGTGGTTTTTAAACAACCAAATGGTGAATCAACTCCCCCCAACTTTTCTAGGAAAAAAAAGATTTTGTAGGTAAAGCTATCATGATTTGTTTAATAATTTGTTTCATTTTGTTTTGCAGGTTTCCATTCGTTCAAAACAAACAGTGATGACGAGGCAAGTGAATATGATAGTACAAACCACATCTTGCAAGTGATCCACTTTGCACTATCAATCTCATAACTACTTAATCAACCGGTAAATTGCTAACAATAACATGCTTATATACCTATAGGAAAAGAAAATGTATTTCCTTTGCTAATAATTATTATTGTTATAAGATATAAAGAGGCTGTATTATTAAAATGATGCATAAAAATAATATAATTACAAACATTGTAAATGAAATGTCGAACGGATTAGTATAAATAAAATTTGTGATTGAAACGAATACTTTAAAAAACTGAAATACGCCATCTTAAAAGCAGATCAAAGAATCTCTAATAAAAAATATTAAAATGCAATAAGCTATAAAATAAATAGTCATTTAAGAAGTGCTGATCAAAGCAAAGATTCAAAGAAACATTCCTCCTCTGAGAGTGTATTATGTCATCTCTACAAGAATTGCTCTCGTCTTCTTATCTTGTCTTCAACTGTGAAAATGGAACATCTCAGGTTAATTCCTGTCCAGAAAAACAGAATGAGACATGAACAATGTAAATAATGATCCTCATGTTATCTCCTGTCAAGAAAAAATAGTGTGACTAGAGTAGCTATGAAATAGTTAAAACTCATACCTGTTCATTCTCTTTGCAAGACCTTTTATTATGACCAAGTTGTCTACATTTACCACACTTAATCATTCCATACTTTCTCTTAGCTTTATGAGGATCCTTTCCTTCTAATGAGGATTTGTGCCTTTGCTTTTTTGGCCTGCCTGGTGGTCTCTTTAGCAAAGGTGGCATGATTGGCTCATTGTCGGTTATAGGCCAGATATCAGGGCCTCCCATTGGATTTATTTCACACTCATAGGCCCTAAAAAAATACTCTCGTGTAAAATATTCATGTATATAGTTTTCTGGCCTACCTTTGATAGACTTTATGGCAGCACAAGCATGAATACAAGGTACACCTGTCAAGTCCCATAACCTACAAGTACATGTGTGGTTATGAAGATGAACAACAAACCTCTTAGGCCATAGTGTAACCTCGAATATAACTTCCCCACATGAAATTGAATTCCACCTAGTACATTCCATGATGTTTTGATTCAACTTCTTGAGTATCTCCGGGCATATTGATCCACCATTCAACATCATCTTTTCCTTTTTTTTCCTCATTAATGTCATTGCTTTGATCCTTATTTTGTCGATAAGAATATCCACATGATTGTCTCTATACTTTTTTATGACTCCATTGAAGCACTCAACTATGCTACTTGAGAACACATGACACTTGACATGATTTTGAAAATGTGCTCTACTCCATCTCTCAACACCTATTCGAGTGAGATATTCCCATGCATTGTAATCCTTTTCCTTCATCTTATTCATGTTTCTGTCAAAATCACTAGTGGTGGTGGATCTTGCAGCAAACCAAAACAGAGATCTTAGTTGTTCATCCTTCCATTTTTTCTCAAAGTTGGTATACATATGACGTACACAAAATCGGTGATGAGAAGATGGATACACTTCTTCTAGTGCAGCCACAAGACCCTACCAACCAAGACAAATATGAAACCAATTAGTAAACCATATATATAGGCCGAAACCATAATGTAATTAAAAAATTATGAAACAAGTTAATATTATTAATCCTGATAAAAACACAAAGCAAGAAGCATTTTTAACAATTATGCAAACAATATTTACCTTTCCTTGGTCAGAAATAAATGTCCAACTCTCTCCACGGATGGATGTTTTTCCAATATCTGTCATCAAGTTATTTAAAAACCATACCCACGTCTCTCTAGTTTCAGATGAAACAATAGCATAAGCTACAATGAATAGACCATTGTTCCCATCAAGACTAACCGCTGCAAGAAGCTGACCGCGATAGTATCCACTTAGATGGCATCCGTCTAGTGCAATTAGTGGACGACATCCATTTATAAACCCCTTTTTACATGCATCTATACATACATATATTCTATCAAATCTTGATGGTCCATTCTCACCATGTTTTGGACAAATTAATTCAACTGTTGATCCAGGGTTGGTCTTCAGTAACTCGGCACAATAATTAGGTAATTTAGAATACTGGTGAGCAACATTGCCATGAAGTGATTGTGATGCATATGCTTTTACTCTATAAGCCTTTGCAATACTAGCCATGACATTACATTTCTTATATATAAGATCTTTCACTTCCGGACCTGTCATGTTTGGATGTTCTCTGAAGTCTTCAATTAACTTATTTCCCAACCACTTGGTATCAGCAAAATTTGCCTTCACTCCCTCTTTCTGACAGGTATGACTCGAGATAAATGTTTTGACCTTATAAGTTTCTGAACATCCAACTTTGGAACAGTATATAAGCCACGGGCAATCGTTCACACACTTTACACGACATTTTATCTTATCTTTCTTCAAAAAGGTCAGATTATACATATTTTGAACCCCGTAGGTTTTAACAGCTTCGTAAAAATCATCTATAGATGCAAATGATTGTTCCAACCTGAAGTTGACATCCCCGGGAGCTGCTTGAATATGCGCAGAGTCAGCTTCGTCTGCACTTGTTGGAGATTCGGAATCATGGATGCTCCTTAATTCTGCCAAAGATTCTATCGTAGCTGGCTCAGAGAAATCAGATAAGTCACCTGTATCACGAAATTTATAAAAAGTATCATTGGTGGCATGTGACCAACATGCTGGTTGTTTGTCATCATCGCTATTATATTCATCTAAACTCCAGTCATCATTTTCAGCTGCCATCTGTAAACAAAATTATAAAACAACTATCAAAATAGTGTCAAGCAACTAAAACTTATCTGAAATACAGAAAATTTATCTAACAGATAATTATATCTTTTACCTTTTTTTATTACATCCATATCAATTACACTCCACAACAAAATAATCTCTAGATTATACCACCCAAATTTACTTTAACTTAGGCATGTATGCTCTATGAGTTTAGAGTTTAGGTATGTTCTCTAGTGTTTCCTTCTACTCAATTTTGAAATTCTAATCTGATCTTCACTTTATTCTTCACTTATGGATATAATATGTTTTTGTGAAGGGTATATAGGTTATCTCATGATGAAATCTAAGTACCAAATACTTTTGAAAACACTGTTTCATAACCACTTTCATGATATCTTACAAACCAAAATAATTAAAAAAAATATAAAAAAGCACGATCAATGTCAAAGTATGGTTTGACTGAGTGACTAGCTTGGTGCATTATGTAATTCAAGATGACCCTAGTTTAAACCTTATTAAAGGAGCATGTGCACCGTTTTTTGATGACGATGATTCCTGAAAATTATGTTTTAAATAATCACAGATGTGGTACAAGGATGGGAGAAAGTACAAACCTTTGATGAGAATTGCTGAATCTTGTATGCGAAGAAGGAAGCAACGAAGAAGGAAGCAGCGGAGTCTGGGATAGGTGGCTGCGTATAAGTTTAAGCTTATACGTAGTATATTTTCTAATTCTTTATATCGTTATTAAATATGTATTTGTTTTTTACTTATGTGGCGCCACATCAGACTCTTTAAGTTGTATTTTAACGGTGTTAAAATTTTGAGCATTAAATTGAGAGATTCTAATACTATAGGTCCCTAAATGATAGAGTTTATCTTTCGGGTCCCTAAATGATAGAATGTTCAACTTTGAGGTCCCTAAATGATAAAATTCCTACTAATTATGAGGCCCGGGAAACAGGTAATAAATTTGCTATAAGTGCACATCTACCAAAAGGGGGGATAACAAATTTGTTTTGAGTTCGTACACATTAACTTTGGCATTTTATAAATTTTGAACCGATTTTGATTAGTATAATATCATGAAAGTTTTAAATTTACACTTTTATGAAGTTATAAATTTATACTTTTATGAATATAAATTTTGAATCATGATTTTGATTAGTATAATATCATGAAAGTTATAAATTTATACTTTTATGAAATACTTTTAGCAAAGAACATTTTCATATAATTTATATATTATAAATAATTTTCAATAAAAATATATAATTGGTCAAAGTTCTGAAAACGGAAAAGTTTTTTGGGAGGGAGTTAGTACAAAGTATCACATTGGTAGTCAACGGATTAACAGGGGGTCCGGGAATCATTAATCCCGGTATAACTATTTTTTATTTAAGAAAATAGAAATGAATTTCATCACTAAAATTGAACATAATAATTATTTGATATATCAAAATGTAAATGCAAAGAAACCAAATAGTATGGTGTGATTGTCAATAATATTACACCAATGTTGCAAAGACTCTCACCATAGCTGGGATAAGAAAGGTTGGTTGTACTTGTACGCAGCCTAACCCTTGTACACATAGAGAGACTGTTTTTAGATGACTCATAACGAAAATCGTGTCAAAAACTGTACGCATTGAGTACTGCTTCATAATAAAGAAGTGGAATAGTATTCAACTCAACAACCAATTGAATTCTCTAATTTTTTTCTCTAATAATGTTTTATGGTTTTTGGGAGATAACAGAACTCATCATCAGGAGAAGGTTGCATTCGACATTTGGTCTTCCTCATGGAAAATGCCACCATCAACCTGGCAGAGGGGCAAGAACAAATGTCTTGGCTGATTGATTTCAATGGATGGTCAGTGAGCAAGTCCACACCCATGAAATTAGCACGAGAGATCATCTACATTTTGCAGAACCACTACCCGGAAAGGCTTGCGATTATAGTTCTTTATACCCCACCAAGACTTTTTGAGGCATTCTGGAAGGTGATTACTTATATACCCTAACATATCTTTTTCTTCCAGATCACACAACCCTCTTGTCCAATTGATTAATAAAAGGAATAATTTTTTATATACTTTTTTTCTTGAAATCATATACTTTGTTAAAAAAAAACGTTTATGCACAAATGCACCTAGGATCATATCAGGTAGATTTGACGTTCTCAAAGACTTGTAACTTACTATTAGCTAGGGATGGATCCGGTCCCGGTACAGTCTCAGTTTCAGTTTCGGACCGCCGACTGAGTCTACCCCACCTATTAGCTTTGTAACTAGTCATGGACCCGGGCCGGGCCGGTTCCGGTTCCGGGCCGGGCCCGGCCGGGCTTTTTTTTGGGAAGGAAGGCCCGGGACCGGCCCGGGTAGCCACCGGGTCCGGTCCGGGCCGGGCCTCCGGTTTGGTCATTTTTTTTTTTTTGCTTTCCTAACCCCCTTCCTCACCCCCAAACCCCTCCTAACCATCAAGCCCAACCCGGGTAACCCCAAAAAATGAAGAAAAAAAATCAATTCGGCCCGGACCCGGGCCCGACACGGCCGGGCCGGTTCGCCAAATACAAGGCCCGAGCCCGGACCCCCCCCCCCACCGGGCCTAGGCCCGAACCGGACCCGGACACGAGAACTGGGCCGGTCCCGGGCCGGGCGGCCCGAACCGGGTCCATGACTATTTGTAACGTTACCTAATAACATTATTCATTTTAAGAAATTTTTATGAGAAAGTACAAATTCGACACCAAATAGACTGAAGTACCTGCTGCCGGCATGAAACTTTTCACCTAGAATAGTATATCCAATGGAAAAGCCCTTAATATGAGTATATGACCACATTTATTAATTACATGGTCTGATCTATAAGTGAGTAGAAATTCATAACTAATACGGAGTATTAAGCATATGCATAATTATGGGACTAGATCTAGTGATCTACAACTTTCTGACATTATAATAATTCGACTAACTTGGTTTTAAAAGTTGGCAAGAAATTGATTTATTTGTGACAATTGTAGCTTATAAAAAAGGGGCACATATCATTAACTAAGCATGGTTCGTTTTGAGATAGATGGTGTACAAGTTGCTTTCTTTTTTATAAGTAGTGCTCGTTTACCCAATTACCAGTTTCCATAAAATAGTGGCAACGTCTAATGTTAAATACCCTTTCTAAAGCAGAGTCTACCAAAGAAAGTTAGAATGAGACATAAATTTTAAAGATGTTTTCACTTTGATGGTTTTCACTTCCACAGTTATAAAATACACATAGATTGCACATTTACCTAATCAGACCTGTTCAGATCAGACAAGACCAAACTTAAACAGATCAGACTAGACCAGACCAATAAATTTCAGTCCAATTAAAAAACATGCTAAAACTAATATTATAGGTCATTTCTGCAAGCATGGGAATTATCATTGGAGTATGATAGAATAAAGATATCCAAGTTGGTATTTTCTTGACAACTGATTTTGCATCAATATCAACAGGTAGTAAAGTACTTTGTGGATCCAAAGACATCCCAGAAGATAAAGTTTGTATATCCAAATGATGAAGATAGTTTGGAGTTCATGAAAACCTATTTTGATTCTGAGAACCTTCCCAGTGATTTTGGGGGGAAAGCAACCTTGAAATATGATCATGAAGAATTCTCTAGATTGATGGCTCAAGAGGATGTGAAAACTATAGCATTCTGGGGACTTGAAGATGAACAGAAAACACTCATGTAATGTCAACCCAGAGGCAATGAGGGTTGCCAGACTTGCAAGCTGACTAACTACAACCAGGAATGATGTCTGTAAAATGCAATTGATGTGTAAAACTTTAGTGGTATCAGGTGATTAGCCATTGTTGGCAAAAAAAATTGCTCTTATATTATAAGTAAATAGATACCTTTGCCACGTTCAGTAAAAATTAAACAAAACTTCAAGATTATGGTTACACTTGCACTACCAACAATCTCCCTCTAGCATGGAAGTAGATTTTTTAGGTTGGGCAGGAGAGACATAGGTGGAAGATGATCACTTCAATTTAATGTGAAAATGAAGATTACAAATGTTATCGAAAAAGAAAACCAGAGAGTTGGAGATAATTTGCAGACTTGCAGATTGTGAGTATATGAGAAATGTACCTCAAATGGGATTTGAAACAAAAAAAAGTAGGTGTAATTCAGGTTAACACTGAAAAAAATGAAAATTAAACTAAGTTGGGGGAGGGACAACTGTTGACTGCCGTTGACCGGCAGTCCAGTGTCCAGCAAGTCCAAATCCAGCTGTGCAACCCAGTCCAAAGCAACAGCCCAGCTCCCAGCTCCAGATGTCCAGGTCAGCAGCTCCAGCAGTCAATTAGACTGACCAAGAAGCCCAATAACCTGGAACAGCCCAACAGCCCAAGTCCAGGTTTTAGCCTCTGCGATTCCGTGTTCTACTTCGTCTTCGTCGTTCCAGATGCGAAGAAAAGAAACAAGCGCCCTTCGTCTTCAGCTTCTGCCCGAGAGGAGTAAGGCCAGCAACGAGTTTGGATTCAGTGACTCAGAGTCACGAATCGTGCGACTTCCCGGTGACGAGCTCTGGCGGTGACGGACGGCGAGCTATCTCCGGCGACAGTCCTCTGCAATCGGCGACTCACTTGCAATTCCGGACTGGCTGAGTCGAGAACAACCTCCAGGCGTCCTCCAAGGACTTCAACGGACGTCTAAGGGTTGGCAGTGACCTCCAAACGACGGATAGCGGCGGAGGGTGGCGGAGGGTGGCGGTTCCGGCTCTGATACCACTGTTTGATATTTTGTATCAGTTTATTAAACACATGACAGGTTCTCATCTATATCCTCAATCGGGTCAAGACGAAACCTAAAGAATTTCTCGAGTAAAAACAACTTCCCGGGCAAAGAGGTAAGATTATCCAATTTCTCCCACAACTCCTTAGCAGACTCAACAATACTCACTTTCCTAAGTACAGAATCAGACAGATTCAAGTAAATAGTAGAACAAGCAGTTTCGTTCATTTCAATTTGATTTGCTTTATCTTCTGATTCAAGGAAAATATTAGTGACAACTCTGAAGTTTTGATTTGGGTCTCAATTTGAATAATTTGTATTCGAATCCAAATATGAACACGAGTTTATATATGAATACAATTACGACAAATATGAGTTCATTCAAGTTTTTTCGGATACGAATACAAATATGAGCATATTCAATTTTATATAGATATTTAAATATCAAATCCAGAGTATTTTGTATGAATATTAATACTCATATGAAAACTTATAGTTGAGTATTAATGTGGTGCAAATGCGAATGCCGGTGTCACCCCGATTGAGGTGACCCTCGACCGTTAGATTAGCGACACATGCATACGTTTAGCATTTATGGCTGCTATAAATAGCAACCCCTTTCCCAATTGTAAAGGATCCCAGAACATGTTAATTTAATATACTTGACTCTCTCTCTTACTTGTTTGCTCTGACTTCTCTCTAGTTATTCTCCGCAATAATGCCTCGGATAAGCTACCCCTGGGTACACTATCCATCAAATGCAATTAACATTCTAAAATTTCATTTGTGAAAAAATAGTATTGCATCTGGTCATTGCTCTAAAAATCACTCTCGACGGCTGACTAGTCCCCGGCTCCCCGCCTAGGCACTAAGCGGTGGCCAGACACCCCAATTTTAGTGTAGGCGCTCTGACTAATTGATTTGATGCCTAGGTGTAGTAGTCGTCCGACTAGGGCGCCTTGTTACCTACTCAAATCGCTTAATTGGCCGCCTAGGACGGTTAGATTTGTTGAACATTGTCTTTTGCTTTTATATTGAGTTTCCTAAAAAATATATGTAGCTTTAACTATAACAACACATATGAAGAAAGTTACTCATTGTAGATT